CGAGATTAGATTGCTTGAGCCAGGTCTTTGAAAAGGGGAGGGCTTCCCTTGTGGCTCAGTGGTTAAGAATCTGCCTGCCAATGCAGGAGACATGGGTTCGAGTCCTGGTCTGGGAAGATCCCACATGCTGCAGAGCAACTAAGCCCCTGCACCACAACTACTGAGCCTGCGCTCTAGAGCCCATGCACGAGCCACAACTACTGAAGCCCGCACGCCTAGAGCTTGTGCTCCGCAACAAGAGAAGCCACGTTGCACCGCAACGAAGAGTAGCCCTTGCCACAACTAGAGAAAGCCCGTGCGCAGCAACGAAGACCCAACGCAGCCAAAATAAAATAAATAAATGAATGAATAAATAAATAGATAAATTTATTTTTAAAAAACGGGGGAGAGAGGGTGGGCTCCGTGTCCCCTGTGGAGGGGTTGTCTGGTCTTTTGTAAGGGAGGGGACACTTCTCAGAGTACCAGAAGGGGATACAGGTGGGTGGAGAGGCAGATTGTTTCGCAGGTTGTATCAGGAATGAGAGGGAGTTCCTCTTTGCTTCTATTTCCTCAGTAACATGAGAGGTTAAGGGGACTTCCCTGGTGGTCCAGTGGTAAAGAATCTGCCTTCCAAAGCAGGGGAGGTGGGTTTAATCCCTGGTCAGGGAACTAAGATCCCACATGCTTCCAGGCAACTAAGCTCGCACGCCACAACTACTGAGCTTGCATGCTTCAACTGGAGAGCCATGTGCCACAAACTACGGAGCCCACGTGCTCTGGAACCACGTGCCACAACTAGAGAAGAGAAAACCTGCACGCTACAACTAGAGAGAAGCCCGTGTGCCACTGCGAAGAGCCCACATGCCTCAAGGAAAGATCCCGCATGCCTCAGTGAAGATCCCGCATGCCGCAACTAAGACCCAACGCAGACAAAAAAATAAAAATATTAAAAAAGAGGTTAAGGAGATGTGTGTGTGTGTGTGTGTGTGTGTGTGTGTATAATACACATGTATGGTGTTATTTATTTTTGGCCATGCTGCATGGCATGCGGGATCCTAGTTCCCCAACCAGGGATTGAACCCAAGCCCCCTGCATTGGAAGCACTGAGTCTTAACCACTGGACTGTCAGGGAAGTCCCTATGTATGTATTTATACATATTCAATCACCATGTTGTACACCTAAAACTAATATAATGTTATATGTCCATTATAGCTCAACAAAACTGGAGAAAAAAACGTAAGAGGCTAGTCATCAGCTAAGATGAGAGGGGTAGAGGTTTTGTAGAGAGAGAATAGGTATAAAATTCATCTTAGAGAATGGAAAAATTGGGGAAATATAGTAGAAAGTCCCAGGCAGTGTTGAGAACTCATTTGAGGTTAGGATTTGTGAAGAGAAGAATATCTGCCTGGCAGTGTGATTTTGCTCCAGCAAAAGCACTGAGAAGGCAAGTGGTGGATTGATCCAGAGTAGGGGTTTTGCCAGCAAGCACCAAAGGAGACAGGGCGAGAGAGTGGTTATCATGATGATGGAAACAGAGCTAGAAAAGAAGGAATGTGGAAACTGGGGCTCATGAATAGTGAGAAGTTAGTGAAGTCAAGGGATCAGAGCTCATGAATTGTTGAGGAAGGCTTAAGGAAAATGTGGTCAGAGGGTCTATATATTGCAAGTGGTATGATGTTTCGTGAAAAAGTTGAGGGTGTGACTGCAGGAGTGGGCAGCTGCTGTGGAGTGTGGGAAATAGTGCTGGAGATGAGGAGGTCAGGATGTTGGAGGGACCATCACATGGACGTTGAGCTCACCAAATATAACAAACTTGAGGGGGGAGAGAGGCAGCGAGCTAAGAGCTAAATGAGGGGCATCGACCGGGAGGTTGATTGATGACATCAACCAAAATGGTATGTCCAGATGGTGAAGCTTCCAAGGAACAGGGGTTTTGTAGGAGGGAGGGGTTTAGAAATGGCATTGGGGGTGGAAGAGGAATAGACTTATTTCCTGACCCTGAGGTACACAAGACTGAGAAGAAAATAGCATTCATCTAAGAGGGCTGCTAAAGAAGCAGTGTCTTCAGGGGAGAGCCAGGTTTCAGGTAAGGCAAGGAGGTGAAGGCAGCATCCTGAGAAAAGCTGATGTGGAAGAACTGCTGATCACAGGTTGCAGAAGGCACCGGGGGAAAGGTATGGCTGGGGGCAAGAAGCTGGGAGCCAGTGTGAGGACAAGGATAGAGGTGATAATGGATGAGAGGGAGCTAGAACCTGTGGTGATGACTGTGGTAAATAGGGATAGGGGAATGATGGGATACAGCGCTCTCTGGAACTTTCTGTGTGGATGGAAAACCTGCACTGTGCAGTACTGTAAGCGCTAGCCATATGTGGCTGTGAAGCACATGAAATGTGGCTAATGGGACTGAGGAACTGAATTTGTAACTTTATGTCTTTTTTTTTTCTTGGCTGCGTCTGGGTCTTTGTTGCTGTGCGCGGGCTTTCTCTTGTTGTGGCGAGCGGGGGCTACTCTTTGTTGCAGTGCATGGGCTTCTCATTGCAGTGGCTTCCCTTGTTGCGGAACACGGGCTCTAGGCACGCGGGCTTCAGTAGTTGCAGCATGCCGGCTCAGTAGTTGCGGCACGCGGGCCCTAGAGCGTACGGGCTTCAGTAGTTATGGTGCATGGGCTCAGTAGTTGTGGCTCGCCAGCTCTAGAGCGTGGGCTCAATAGTTGTGGCTCACGGGCTTAGTTGCTCCGTGGCATGTGGGATCTTCCCGAACCAGGGATCGAACCCGTGTCCCCTGCATTGGCAGGTGGCTTCTTAGCCACTGTGCCACCAGAGAAGTCCCTAACTTTATTTCATTTTAATTAATTTAAGTTTAAATAGCCACTAGTGGCTAGTGGCTGACATATCAGACAGTACAGAATAGAGGAACGTGGCTCCCCGTTTTTGTGAATTTTTCACTTGCTGGTCAGGTAGCCATCAGGGTGGTCACTCCTTCAAGCAGCAAGTTGTGCGAGACCCCCCCCTCACTCCTCCACCATGTGAATACAGACAAAGCACAGGATCAGGCAACTCTGGGCCCAAATTCTAACGCTACCACTTACTAGCTTCGGATTAGAGCAAATAAATTAACTTGCCTGGTATATATGGGCCCTCAAAAATATTAGCTGGCAAAAGCTCCCTGAGGTTCAATTCATTTCATCTGTAAAACAGGATTAGAGAGCTGTTGTAAAAATTAGCACTTTAGCATGATGCTCAATAAATGGTGGCTATTATTGACATAGTGAGTTAATAGCTGCTGGTTGTTCAAAAACTATCCTTTAGGCCAAGGGGTTACTTATCCAGGGACTGATTGTCTGGCAGAAATGAACCACCCCAGCTCCCTTTGGGGAGCAGGAGGATTGCCCAGGTCTCTGGGACTATGACATGGTGTAGATCAGGGGTGCGTTTAATTGTTCAATTCTGCTATGCACTAAGATCAGAACATACCTGGCTTGAACTTGGAAAAGCAGGTAGGCATAGTCATGGAGACAAGGTAGAGATCTAAAGTGAGCCAGAGTATGGGACCAGTCGTGCTTAATATCTAATGATAATCTGGGCAGTTCCGGTATCGCTTACCACTTCAACTTCTGCTGAAAAAGCCTAGTTTGGCAGCTCCAAGCTTTCTTCCATCCCTGAATTTCCATCATCTAAAAACCATAAGCATGTTTGTGGAGTTATAGTGTCCTGGATGGCTTTAATGTGGGCCATTTGTGACTTGTGGCTATTATCAACTGGGGGTCATAGTGACCTTTGATCTGGAGTGATTGTGATCATCCTTTCTGTGAAACCATCTCTAATTCCCTAGTTACTTTCTCTGTGGCCTCTCTCAGATTGAGCACTTACCTCATATTATGATGGCCTGTCTGTGTCCCTCCCTCTGATCAGAATGTGACATCCAAGGCAGGAACTTTGCCTAGTTGATCCTTGAGTATTCCTGGACTTTTGCACATGCCTGGAGCACGGAGTAAGTAGCTGCTCAATAATTATTTGTTGAATAAATGAATGAATGGGATTTGAGGTGACAGCTACCCATTGTGCTCTGAGATAACGTGACACCTCTTCTTTGCAGTCTGGGTTGACCATGAACAGGGTCAGAGCTCTGATGATTGTGTTGAAGTGCCTGTCATCTGAGGGGTCTGTGCATCAGTGATTGTGACCTACTGACACTGATCTGTGATAAGGACCAGCAGGGATACTAGTAACGTTGCATGATTGTGATCTGAAGCGCTTGTAAACAAGTCAGCGTTGATGCCTTCCCCCACTGCTGTCAGGTGACTGTGATCCTCACTCACAGCCATTTGGCTTCAGATGACCCCAGCCAGTAGCAGGCCTTGACTGTTGCCCTGAGATATGTCTGTAAGGTGCAGAGATTGTTGATCTCAGCTGATAGCTGAGGTTATTGATCTGCATATTAGCTAAGGTAACAGATCTGTTGGCCCGGGCTTAGTCTCGAATGGCGCTAATATGTGTAGTACTTCTTTTTTTTTTTTTTTTAATATGTGTAGTACTTCTAGATTTACGAATTTGTTTAATACAATATCCTCCCAGGGCCTACAAATGACACAGCCCTACTCGGCCCTATGCAAACAAGGGCTAGAGACCAGGACTGTCAGGTCAATGCTCAGTAAACGGTACCTGAAATTCAACGCATCGTTCGGGCCGCTAGGCTGCCGCCACGGCCACGACACGGCCACGACCACGACCACCCCCACATGCCGCTTTTCATCTGGACCTCCGCCCGGCCCCCTCCCCTACCGCCCCTCGCCCCTACCGCCCCTACCGACCTGGCCCCTACCGCCCCTGGTGCGCCTGCGCGGCGATGGGGCGGTGCTTTGCCCTTTGTTGTGGGCCCCAGTTTCCCAGGACACCGCGCGGCGCTGGGGTGGGGCTATGCAGATAAGGCACTCGGGGGCGGGGCGGTTGCGGCGGCGTCGGCGGCGGCCGGGGAGGGTCAGTTGGAGGCAGGCGCTCGCTGAGGCAGGAGGAGGGCTTTGGGCCCGCTGCCTGACAGGGACTTAGCCCGCAGAGCTCGGCCCCGCGCGCGCGCGCGCGACCCCACACCCGCCCACTCATCCACCTACCCACTCCCTGCGCCGCCTCTTTCCACCCTGAGCAGAGCCGCCGAGGATGATAAACACCCAGGACAGGTAACGGCCCGGTTTAGGCTCCCCGCCCCCATTCTCCCCTCCTCTGCTCCAGAGGGCCTCCTCCCCACCCCCCAGCCGGTTCTTGCCCCTCCTAAGGGGCCCCATCCGGCCCCCACTGGGTCCCTTCCCTACTTCAGCCACCCCAGTCCGAGCCGCAGCCCCGCAACTGGGCCTCCCTCCGTCCTTTAGCGCCCCTTCCTCCAGCCTGGCCCATCCCCCTCGTCCGAGCGTGCAGCCCGGTGAAGCCCCCAAAGACCGGGACCCAGTCTTCCAATCCGGTCCCGTTCCTTTCATCCCCGCCGAACGGTGGCCCCTTCCCGAAACTGTGCTTTCGCTCTCATCCAGATTCCCCAAATTGTTTCCCGTCTTCCCCGAATCTTTCTTCCTGCTCGTTTAAGTCACTTAAAATTCTTCCCTTTGAATCTCTTCCCTAATTTAAACTGCACCTTCCAACCAGACGCTTCTTTTATCACTTCCCCCCGCCCCAGGTTAGACTCCGTCCTTCAGTTCTCAACTGGACCCATTACCCCCACCTGTCACCCTCGCC